TTGGTAAGGGCACGCACTTGTGCTGAATGCAACGGAGAAGCTGCGTGCAAACCTATCACGCATGCGTGCGGGCGATAGAGATGAGGTGAACCCCAATTGTTGTGCGAAAAAAAGGAAGAAGGATGAAAGAAAGAAATGAAGAGAGGGGATGCTGCATTTATACATAATAAGTAATGAGTCTCGATATTATCGAGATATCGCCATTTTGTTGTATCGCGTACTTTAATATTGATATTTTAGATTAAACAGCGGGATATATTTCTCTCTTTGCGATTTATCCTAAGGCAATATTTCATAATTCATGCACACACAAACTTGAGTTTTAGAGACATCGCACGGTTGTTCTCGAGATTCAACGATTCGCGAAATAATAAAAATATTGAGCGAGAGTATATAAGTACTTGTGTTTCATAAGATGTTTACAGTGGCATGAAACGATGGCTCGTGCCGACGTTGGCCAAGAGACTGAAAGTGACGGAGATGAATTTCTGTTAAGCCGATTACATAAGATTTCACGGGTCTCTTTTTCTTTGTTTGCCCCGAGTCGCTCGCGCTTTTATTTGATTTAGAAATCAGACGAATTAAAGCTCTTACGCGTATATCTCGACACAACTCGAGTCACTCCTCTTTAAGTCGTGCCCGACAACCGCAGATTTCGACAGCGCGAATAAGCCAAAGAATTTCGCGCGCGTATCCCTGGCAATTCCACGCCATCGTACGAGCACGCGCGCGTATGTGTGTAAACCGTCGTGCGTGAAACCCGTGAATGGGAGGCTGGCAATTTGAAGGCAATCGGAAGAGGCGGAGGGGAGGCAATTTTGGGCCCGGGAGGCCCCACTCATTCCTCTCCCTTCGGCTGGCGCTGGCTCCTCGACAGTGAAACACGGGCACGGCGAAAATTTTCGCCCGAACCCCGCGTCTCCCCCCTCGTCCGCCTCGTTCTCTCTATCTCTCTCTCTCATACGCTCTCCCTCTTCCTCGTTCGAACGAGTCGAGCTCCTCGGGCGCGCACCACACGACTCATTCGGGCAAGGGTTTGTGTATCGCAACGGGTCCGGGTAATATCTCGTTTAGAAAGATTACAGGTTCGAGAAGAGGCTGCCAATGTATAAAACAAACATCGTTAAGGCAGCCCTATACTTAAGATTCCCTTCCCCACACTCGTTTCCGGCCCCACCCCGTGCACCCTCTCTGACATTACATGCTCGCTATTATGCACATCTAGGATACCGTGGCGTCTCATTATCGATATATGTATATATACGCCGTGTGTCGCAGAACTATCTTGGAAAAACAGTAGCGGATATTTTTTTGCGCGACATTAGAATCACGATGAATTAAGCTTTAATAAAATCATTTCCCAATTTACTTCCATCCTTAACTTTATCCCTCTCTTGACGTTATATATATTTAACAAATTAATAAATTGATAAATATATATTTAATATATATTAATTTAATATTTAACATTAAAAATAGATAAAGTCTGATAATAATTTAAAAGAATTAAAAAAATTCGCTAAATGTCAGTGTCGGATTCCTTGCTATATTTCATGCATCTTTCGAGACGCCCTGTACAAACGTACATGTACCACGGATGGTGATGCTGCGGGCGAGAGACGACGATGCTGAAAGCGAGGACGGGAGACGTCTGGAGTGGATCCACGCACGTGATCCAGAGTGCAGTAAATGCGCTTTGCGTGTGGTGGCGCAAACGTGTCAAACGCGTACTCCGCATATTGAGACGTAGACCACCGGACGGGGTTCGAGTGCGGGGTCCAACGGGCCCCGGCCCTACGGCATAATTTCCACGCGTATAATTATCGATGATCGGGCCGTTACAGGCCCGGCCCGGCCCGACGCGGCGTTTCGTTGAAACCCGATCGCGAACGGGCGGATATTACGGCCAAGACGGGAAAGGGGGAGACAGATCGCTCGGACATGACGGTTATTATTTATCGATGGAGATTGATTTAGAGCGCGGCCAGTTTTCGAGATTGCGATCGATCGGCCGCGGGTATCGGTACGCGTGAGCGTTGTGATTTCGAATCGATCGGACACCGATCCTCGTTCGATTCTAATAAAAACGCTAAGCGCTATCCATTTTGACAATTTCAACCAAGCTCTTTCGTTGTCGACTAATATTCGGTTTTAATTATTAATCTACTCGTTATCGCGTATTAATTCAACTTAAATTCTCTATCGAAAGCAGCTCCGCTTTTGCTTTTTCTACTTCTGTAATTCCGAAATTTATTAAAATATTCCCTAAATCTCTTAGATAACAATTTATTCTTGAAATGTGTAAAGATGATATTCGACTGAATTCTGAATGATGTCCAATGTCAATCTTCTAAAAGATAAACATGCTTTAGTAAATTAACACAATGTCACTATAAATGCTAGTGTTGTTCGTAAGAAGATTCGCGTTATAAGGTAGTTTATTTATTGCATTTAAAATCAGAAACGCGTTGAATAAATTTCAAATGTAGAATAGCTGTCACACGCAAGAAAGAAAGTTAATTATTACAGTTCGATAACGTTCGAACATTATGATTTGTGTCAGCACGCGTATGAATTAATCATGTCGGCACTTTTGAATCAGTCATTCCTTCATACATTCAACTTATTCTTCGGTGCTGCAAATTAAGCTGCTAAATATCATGATCGATTATTTGTCATTCGCTAAACGGCAGCGTGTATTTATCAAAGACGGCGCCGAGATCGCAAGATTATACGCGATAAGCGTACTTGTTCTATTGTAAGCTGTCTTGTTGCATTAATAAAACCGCCAATAACTTGACTAACAATAGCACGCATAGACAGAATAAATCGATACTACCTATCAATTCGTTTCAATTTTTTTTTCACAAGACTCTTCACTAGTTTGATTTTTTTTAGCTCGCGTATTAATTTTTATTCCACACATATATAAGAATATTATATATTATTAATTAGCACCTTGATAAATAATTTTGCTCCAATATCGATTCTCGGCGCAATCCCTTAAAGCAACCTTTGCGCTTCCCCTCGTCTAATGACACACAAGTTGGAAGAGCAAACGCGAAAAGCGTATTAACCGAAGATCGAAGGCAAAGAGCGAGAAAGATTTAATCCGGCCGATATTCACGCATACACTCGCCAAGAGACGGTGGTGCGACGTGGATCGACGTTCGCGTCGATGTAGCCGTGTAATCCACGTACACGCACACACGTGCATGCGAACGCGCGCTTTAGCACCTGTACACATCGCACATGAAATATGTAAGCGTATATGCTCACCCTTTCGTCGCGAACGCGCGTGCTCTATTCTCGGCTATTATAGTTTGCCGTAGTCTCCATTGAAAGCCGATATACTTTGCCCGCTCGGCCTATCATCGCCGAACGACGCTCGTCACTTCTTCGTTTCTATCTCTCTCGATTCGCACTCGCTCGCCGCCTTTCCACATCGGCAGCCTTATTCTCTTTGTCGCGTGCGACACGACGCGTATCCCACTATCCGAGCGATCATGACTCCGCGGAATAAGGTGCGGCGATAGATAAGTTGAGAACTTGCGAAGAAAGAAGAAAAGGAAGAAAGGATAGAAAGAGAGCGCGAAGGGGAGGGGAGCCGACAAGTTTCAATTGCCTGACGACGAAGGGATCCAACAACTCTGTAGTGATATCTTTTTTACGACGGCACCGTGCTACACGTCATCGGGGAAGTACCGCGTGATACTCTGCCCCTCTTCTCTCTCTCTCTCTCGCTTTCTCTCTTTGCCTCGCCGCACACCCTTGCTTTCCTCCCGTGCACGTGCACGGGGTCGCGGAGACGCACGAGGACACGTGTGCGTTGCGTGCCCGATACGCGAGCATGGGTGGCAATAACGAAAAGTAAAAGTTTCGTCGCGAGAGCGTACGCGGAAAAAAATGCTCGCAAGAGCGGCGACGCTTTCTTCTCGCGTAGGAATAATGAAATCGATGTGTTCGTTGTCCTTCCTCTTACGTATCCGGGAGGAATCGGAGCAAATTCAATTTTTCATCGAGATACGCCGATATTAAACTTCTCGATATGTCTGTGTGTTGTCACATATATAGATAGATTTAATTAAAATTTAAAATATCTGTTTAATTTGAAGCACTAAGACAATTGAAAACTCTTCGCATTGTGCGTCTTCGCATTGTGAATGTCGCCCGATAAATTCCTCGAGACTGCCCGCATACAATTTTTTTCTCATGTTCATTTGAGCTCTTGTATTCACTCAAGAGTATTCTCAGTCATAATTATAATTCTCGATGAGACAAAAGATCCTACGTATATATCTACAAACTAAACGTGCAAAAATGAATAAAATTTTACTTTAACGTTAAATCGTATGTATATCCGTATATATTTTTTTCAACTAATATTTATTCCGTTAGTATTTTCGAGTGTAAATAAGAAAAATCTTTCATTTATTTTCATTAAACTAGCGGAATAACTCACTTAATTTCCTTCTCCAAATATACAATCATTATTAAGGATTTTTCTTTAAGCGCAAAAAAATTTTGTATCTTTAATCGAAAGAAAAATAGCCGATGTAAATGTGAGAAACCACGATGCGCGCTTCTAGTTATATTCTAACATCTCTGGCAGTGGATAGTAAAATTAAGTCTCTTCGTATCGTAAAAGAAAAATGGCGCGAATTTTTACGAATTGACAATTAACCCCTACTATTTAACATACCACTACTATTAAACACGACTTGCGCGTTGCGCTTCATGTTATATTCATGCCGTTGTATTTTGAGCGAAATTGTGAATTTTCGATAACGGCCAAGCATCAATAGAGAACTTCAAAGTCCAAAGCTTCGACCACTAGAGCGTCTGTTAGATGCTGCACATTTACATTACAGGACACGCACGTACGAAACTTGGTAGAACTGACATCCTGATTGCTCTGCTCTCGGGATGCTATGCTCGTTCAATTAGCGACAAAGGATCGTAATCATGGTAATGACGTTGACGGCGATATTGACACTTACCGGCCGCTCTTCGTAATGACCATTTCCGTTCCGAGCTTGTGGAATTTCTCCCAGAGCTCCTTGCCCTCCAGCGTGACTTTGGGATCGTCAACGACGCCGTCCTCCTCCGGATGATGGGGTGGTACGAGGGGATGATGCGGCGCCGTGAGGGGGTGATGCGTGGCCAGGGGATGCGGCGACGTATGGAGCATCCCCGGTGGTAGCGGCGGCCTCAGGGGCCTCATCGCCGGACCACCGGGACCTTGGTGATGATGATGTAACGCCGCCGCGGCTGCCGCCAGGACAGCAGCCTCTTCCGGCGTGTGCGGGCCCAGGCCTAGACCTGGAATTTTCAAATGTCACATGTTCTGAGAATTAGTTTGAAAACATACATTCTTTCGCATATAAAAAAAAATATATAATATTAAGACAGTAAGTTATATAAAAAATTTAATGAAAAAACGTTCGACGAGTATATAATTTTCAGTAGGATTAATTTAATCCATCGCAATCGAAGAGCCATATAATCACGGTAATCGAAAATCGGTATCAGTTTGCGCCGGGTAACATCTGGTCGCACTATTCCACGTAAATGTAAGATGCGAGCCATAATGATCCGGCGATCTACAGTGCAGGCCGAAGATCAGCGACGGATAACAAGTAAAAGACAGCTGCCTAAAGTTTCGCGAGGGTAAATCACCTGGCAACCCGCGGTAGCAACCCCCGAAGGAAAGTTACGGATTCTTCTCCGTGCCACCCTTCTCCCTTTACCTGACCCTGCTCCGAGTTAGGAACTTTATCGTCTTTCTCTTCTCCTTAAGCTGCTCCTGTCGCGACGACTTAAGAGGGGCATCTTGAGCAAACCACGAACGATCGCAAGTGGTTATAAACATTATATCTCTTCAATCAAAGAGATGTATCATTAAAAATAAATGTGATGCACCCATAGATCAATAGATGGTTTACTTATATCGGCAGTTATTCCCTTCGACAATCGATCGTTGTTGATTTAACGAATACAGCAATAAGAATCTATTGACTGAATAAAATGAAAGATTTTTAGCTATTTTTTAGAATTTAATTATATATATATATATATATATATATATATATATACATATATATATATATATATATATATGTATATAAAAGTATCTAGTAAACGTCTTGCGATATTTTTATTTCTTAGCCTAAATCGAAATTAAATTGTGGAAAAAAGAAAAAGATGCGCAGTAAAATATTTTTAAATAATTCAGCAAGTGTATTATCGCGAATAAATTTGCAAATTTGGAACATTTTCCCGGAAATATGTCTTGACGCAATCGCAAATATCAATAGCTTTACGTTCGTTTTAGGTCAAAACAGCGTGACTCGTATACGTATATAATAAAATCATAAATAAAATCATACTGATCTTTAAATAATATCTTTAAATAATATCACTGTTCGTGTAATATCAAATAGTGAGAATAATTAATATAAATCACCGTCTATAAATGTTATGAGTAATGATGCAGTTAATAGTTAACGACATGCGGCTTCCAGTATTTCCTTTCCTTTTCGATCAATTACGATCTATAAACGGAAAAATGGAAAACCTGTTATACACGCGTAATGATGACTTTATGATTGTTACCGCAACAGATCTCTGTAAGTCAATCCTTATGTCGATAACCGTTATCTTCACGATTTATTATTTTTTTTTAATCTTATTTCTGTTCGCACGCATTAATTATTCCGTTATCGCAGACGTGTAAAAAAAATATACTTTTCTCTTGTACTATAATTTTTTTATCGCGTTAATTTTCTCTCGATGAAACTTCACGTCAGTTAAACCAATTCTTTATGTGCAACCAGCAATTTGATTTATCTTCAAAATTAATATGTGAAATGGATTTATCACGCGATGCTGTCTTACTTTCAAAACGACTGATAATAATAATTATTATAATTATGCGCGTGTCTATCCAAGTCCCGTCAAGTATAATACAATTAATATTTATTTCATTTGAAATTTCGAGGATATCTTTAGCTGAATCAAAAAATTGTCAGAAAAAAAATGTGATACGTTTGAAAAGCAAAATCTTGCGTTTTTAACATTTCAATTATATTGTTATATCATCACTTGTTCGTTTTTTTTATACGACAATGCACGCTCGTGTAATATACTCATAAAGAAATTCATTTTTCGCATTTGTTTATATAAAAAGAGCGGCAGTCGCTAACAAATTTTACCCGACGATCATATAATGGGCAAAAATAAAATGTATTATATAACATTTTTATGAATCGCGCTCCCGACGGCAACGTATATCTCAAATTATACTCGTAACAATGATGTATGTACGCGCGCGTTAAACGTGTATTATTTTTTGCGGCGCAATAAAACGGTAAAATGTAACAATACGCGGCTCTAGTTACGTGGAAATCCATTTTGACGTTTCTCATCTATGGATACCATAGGATGACTTTCAAAAGATGCGAATCTGTCACACGCATCCGTTTTGATTAAAATTAAATGATAATCATAAGAGCGCATGTGCAGGAGATGAATAATTATGCGAAGCATGCGGATGGAGAAATTTGTTTCCATGCATCCGTATTTGTTGTTTGCATTAAACATAATGTGTATTTGCGTTTGTGTAAAGACAGTGATGTGGATATAATACTAGAGTAAAGCTATGAGCACTAAGTCGATAATAATATACCGCATGCTCTTATAACAGATTTGCGAGACCGCTTATTTCAAAGACGCGGTTTCTTATCGCGCGCTTTCCTTTTTTTTTTGTCATTATTTAAAATATTTCAAACGCCGTTTTACCGTCGTTCCAAGATATATGTATTATGCAAGACGGTGACTTTTCGCATACGATTACGATTATGAACGCTACATTTCGCACCGCTATTTACGCCATAGACGAAAAATCGAACTGAAATATCGACAGATTTCACATATTTTTACGCGTTAATGCATTCACGGGATTGCTAGATTCGCCAAAATTTACTGTATTATCGCGCAAAAGCGCTATTGAACTGTCACGTTTGGTATTTTGTTCGTTCATCAAATGCACGAGTCCCGGAATCCGTCCGACGCGACCGCATCGAATTTTATCGGACACTTACGCGCGCATACTTGACGTATATGCATTTCAATTTTCATTCGCGAGCTGGAAATTTAACGGAAAATGTGCGGCCTCGGTATTATTCAACCGCGGCATTTTTTAACGCGTTGTATTTCTCGCATGAATCTAACATACAGTTAAAAATCGCTCGTCGAACTGCGCGCGGAATGAGACGGATTGTTTGCGATGAACGCGATATCGTCGAATCGAGAAAAAAAAATAAGTATCCGGTGATATTATTTTGGGTTAGTTACTTGGATTAGTTGGCCGTTACGCGCCGTTTACATAACGGTCGCGCCGTTGTTCCTTATCAAAGTGGACGAAACTTGGATATGACGCAAAGTGCGAGGTTCCTGTCGAGATGGCGGCGCGGATTAGGTCGCTCTTCGTTCAATTTCCATCTCGTTTTTTTCACTGATTTTTATGTCGCTCCTCGACCGCGTCGAATTGCATATTCATTATATTGCCACGGTGTTACCACAGCGTAACATTCTTCCCGCCGGATTTTCGTCAAAACTCCATTTTTATTTTAATGAGAACGGAAACATTAATTAGCGCAAAGTGTGCAACCTTGGGATACGCATCTAACTTGCGGCATACTTGACGAATTACTTTATTATAATTGATAAAACGGATGAAAAGCGGTTATTGGGAGAGCAGCTTTGGATTTCACTCGGCGAGCTCGAATTATCCGAATTATTCTTTAGAGCCCGATCTCGAAACAATCCCGTCGCTGTTGTAGCTGTGCGATTTTTAGCTTATTAATTATGCGCGACATGGAACTTCGATCGCAAAGCGCTTTGTTGCGCGTTACAAATACACGCGGCGAATTTAATAACTCGTTCACGATTGCAAGGACCGCTATCGTGCAGCAAAAATATATATATTGCTTCATTGCCACCAATTTATCAACGATTGTGCGCAGCCTGCGCACTCTCTTTCTTTGTGCACAAGTAATACATTATTGAAAATTATAAACAAACAACGATGTATAAAATAGCGCCAATAAAGTGCGGTGTGCGGATTTTCGATTTATCGAACGCGATTTCGCGCCGTAATAATACCTTAATACAATTGCTAACAGCAAGACGCAACAATACCGTGTATTTAATCGCGCTACAAATTCCCACTCCGAATTTCCATCGTTTTCTACGAGCAGCGATTTTGTCGTTACTCGTGCACACGTGACGTTTTTACACTTTTTACACTGAAATGTTTACAGACGGATCAAAGTGCTTTGCGGATGATGTCTGCGAATGACATATTTTTGACATTCCACAAAGAGTTGCGCTAAAATTAATACCGATGCGGACTAATACATTTTATTCCTCATTTTTAGGGTTCGCGTTAATTCGATCCAACGAGAGTCGATAAGAAAACATCCCCATTAAATTATCGCTGCGCGCGTCTATCCGACAGACACGAAACGCTCGCCTCCCAATCCGTTCTTTACGTTTCTCACTCCGTTTTTTCCTCCTTCTCTTTCTCTTTCTCTCCCCGTCACGCGCGTTCGTTTTTTCCTCGCTCGGGGTACACGGGTTACGCGCGCACGTACACGTGACTACACGTTCCGAATTTCGAATGCAAGGAACGTCGGGCATGCCCTTGGCAAGATTAATCACCACTACCTTATGGTCAGTTGGCCGCGAGCCCGACTAGAAAAGAGGAAGAGAACAACGAGTCGCGCCGCGTCGTGTCAAAAAATGACGGGGAAGAGGAACAATAACAATGACAGATATCTCTCGTCTTGGCTTGCCGTTGCAGCTTGGCCCGACGATCGCGATGAACCGCGAGACCATCACCGACGCAACGGTTTTGCATCATTCGCAGGCTCATCGCCTGCGTGTCGCGCTGCAAATAAAGTGGAAAACAAAACAGCCTCTCTTTTGATTTTAACCAAGCTTGTTGATCGAGATACGTTCACGTTTTCACACAATTTTAGAGAAAATATTTATAAAACGCGACACATTTATATGTTTCGATTTAATAAACGTTTTCTATATTGTTTAACTTTTCCTTAAAAAAGCTTCAATAATATATTCGATCGTAAAATCATAAAATATCGTCGTTGTAAGTAAAAGGGCTGTTTGCCCGCGGAGAAACTAAATCATCTAACGAGGTTCTCGGCGTGTCTACCGGCGTCGGGAATTAATTCATCATTTAGCCTAACGAAGGGAATAACTAGTTGTAGCGGATGAGGTGGACGCGCGTAATAATGCGATGTCAGATAAGACGAGCGATGAGCACGTTGTCGGCTCTGGAAATCGTTCCTTCGATTCTTTTTTTTTTTTAACACGCACCTGGCACGACATTTGCACAGACGGCGTCATATTCACGCTGCCACGAGATAAAATGCGAATGATACCTTTCGCGATGAATTTTTTAATCTCGTTGCGTTATTCTATACACGGTGAGATCGAAAACTTGACATTTTTTCCTCGTAAAGATAATTCCAGAAATTTATCCGGAATCGTATCTCGTTTCAACTTTTAACCCTCGTATCGCGTCGACTTTTTCCGAAATATTCTACACTTGTGCACTTGCGTATCATCACGATATTCGTCGATGAAAAAAAAAAACAAGACAATGCGCTGTGAAAATGATGTCGAGAAACCGAGAAGCCGCGCGTTCCACGTTCATCGTTCGCATCGCCCTATTCATTTAACGCCGGAGATATGCCAGATCGATTACATTATCGATGCCTAAGTCATAATGTATCGCTGACGTATACCGAGTGCATTTTTCTCTCGACCGCTTTAAAGTCGCATTCTCGATGTTATCGTCGTTCGCGCGCTATTGTTGATCATTGATCGGGTACGATCCGCATATTTTTTTCACGTCAGTTCGCGGATATCGACTCGAATCGCGTTCTTCTCGTAGCGAGAAAACCCTCTACCTAGAAGCTAAAGAAATCGCGCTATCTTTGAGCGACAGAGTTTAATACATTTCTCTTTCAGATTGCAAAGTCGAGGAAGAAATCTGTCCACGCGATTGAGCCAATCATAGCTCGAGACATCAATATTTAATGTATTTACGACTCGATTTCTTTCCGATTATTTTTTATGACTAAATAAGTAAAAAAAAAGAAATAATTTCGAGGAATTATTATCAGAAAATACTTTCGTTTCTAGAATCCATGTTGATAAACGTTCACGGAATATCTATTCGCTTCCTCAATTATTCTCGAAATATTTCCAGTTCTCGAAGATGATTCTCTCTCATCGGACACGGATTGCGATGGAGTCGGGCCATCGTAGGGCCGCGACTCCGATGACATTCACGCGGGACCGTACATCTGAAAACAACAGATAAGTCGGCGTCGCGCATTGGCGACACTTTCCGCAACGTTGGGCAACACGGGGCATAATTGAGAAAACAATTAGCGACCGATTAATCGCGCGCCATCAAATGTCGCGACATTAGCGCCAATCTTTATAATGGCACCGAATGACTCTGGCAAACAAGGTAATAAATTCTCTAATTAGCGGCATTTAATATCAATAGGGGCCACGTCGCTTTATCGGTCGCGCGAATTAACAATGGCCGCGAGCACGAGACGCGTAATTATTGCGCAGCATCGAAGAGAAGAGAAGAGAAGAGAAAAAGAGGCCTGTCCTTTTAAAACGCGCAGTATTTCATTCGCCGTTCATCTTCCTGGCGTGTCGCACGCTTTGACGTTACGCGCTGGCCAGGATGTTGCGTAAGGCGCGCGACGAAACGGCCGACATGACAAACGAGAGACTTCCAGCGTGTTGCGAACGCGTTTCCCGGCGAGAAACGAGCGCGCTTCCGGCGGCGACAATGGCATCGCGCCAGGGCAACAAAGTGCGCGCGCTGTGTTTACGAACTTCGCGAAATGCCCAGATTATTACGTCGGTTTCCGGCTGACGGAAACCGAGAGTCTTGTCGGAGTGACTCGCGGAGTCCTCTTTACACGAGGAATATACAGATATTCGACTTGAAAGTATACTTGTCGGATCCAACGATAATCTTTGTCTCTTTAACGCTAAGCTTTTAATTAGAAATTTGACATTTGATGTTGTTGCTTTCGTCACTTTTCTCACGATTTTTCCTAGGATATAATCAATTTCTCGGTACCTATACCTCTCTCTTTTTGTTTCGTTTCTTCTGAGAAAAATATGTAGCTTCCTTACAACGTTGTTTATACAATTTTAAGGACCTCATTTGACCAATTAGAGATAGAAATATATAAATTGTCGATAGCTTTAGCGTTAACGACGATGAAACAAAGACAGGCGGAGACAGACTCGATGCGTTATTCGGAGGCAAGATAAAAGAAAACGGTACGTTCGTATTTCTTAATGAAACGGACAAGGTATGTACGCTTCCACGTGAAAGAGCCAACAGACAGCCTGCCTAATTATCTCTCGTTACTAATTCGACCGTGTTTTGTGAAATTCGACGGCGCTACTTCGCGCAACAAGTTTGTTCGCAGTTTATTTATCTCGTGGGGCTCGTAAAATTTCTCCTCTCTCCCTCACGTGAGACGACGTACGAGCGAAACACTTTGGTCGACGGAGACACACAAGGCGCACGAAGTAGGGTAAAATCGAGGAAATTCGAAGCACGCTCGACGATCAACGACACGTTGGCACTACTTTGCCTAGTCTGCTCACCTGGCGGCGTGATAGCGTGCGGATTGAGATGCGGATGATGATGCGCGCCGGTGAGTATCCCCTTGCCCTGAAGATGATGCGCCGCAGCCGCGGCGGCCGCGGCCGCCGTTGGCCCCGGAGAGCTGGTGGGCGGTAGATGCGCCGCCGGATTGTAGAATCCCGCCGCCGCCAGGGCGGCAGCGCTGAAGTAGCTGGCGGCCGCCACCGCCGAGGACGGGTGCGACAAGTCGCGCTGGCTGCTCACCGGCAAGGGCGGCGGCGTTTCCGGAGCGGCGGCCGGACTGCCGGGTCCGCCGGGTGGCGGGGACGCGCTGCTTTGCGAGGACGAGCCGCCCAAGATGCCGGGCGGATGGGTGCTCGCCGCGGTCAGTAACGAGGAGACGCTGAAGTCCGTCGGCCGCGGTGCCGCCGGTGCCGGCAGGTGTCCGGTGCCGGCACCGATGTGGCCGTTCGGGTTGCTCGCGGGCGGCGTCCCGCCGGCGATCGCGCTTGCGAAGGGCGAGTGCTGATTCAGAGCCGTCGCTGACGCGGGATACGCCATCCCAGGCCCCCCCGCCAGTCCTTCGGCCCGCGGCCCCGTGTTCGCACCCTCGACCACGTTAGCCTCCAATTCTATGCCACCGAGTCTACGTCGTTGGCCGTCGACGTCCTTCTTGGAGGAATCGTCGTCGTCGTCCTCCTCCTCCTCCTCCTCCACCACCACCTCCTCCTCGGGCCGTGATCGCTGCTGCAGCGCGGAGGGTTGCGGAGTGCTGGCGCAGTGGGTACCCCTGCACGCCGTGTCTTGTTCGAATCTCATCGAGACGGGCGGATGTGCCGAGTCGCGCGAGATTCCTCTTCGAGTGACTCAAGCCTGCTCCGAATGCTGCTCGCGCGATTCAATAATCGAGAGAATTCTCTCTCTCTCTCTCTGTTTCCGCTTCGAATGCGTCTCTTGTCGTCCGCTCTCGCGCGAGCCGCTCACGGATCCGACGGATGGAGACCGCTCTGCCGAGAGCCGAGTGTCTGTCCGATGCGTTCAACGATCGCGCCTCCTCATGTTCGCGCGCGAGCGCACATACACACACACACGCGCGTTGGAAATTGGCACTTGGCAAACTCAAAATCGCGAATCGCGATCGGAACGCCCGCGTTCCTCTTCCGCGCGAATTTCCAGCCGCGGAAAGTCGCTGCCGACCGTCGCCGAGGACCGTCTAGTCGACATCTTACGACTCGATCCTGCCACGCTTCGACGAAGCTTCAGCGTGGGCAAAGTATTCGTCGCTCTCGAGGAGTCGTCGAACGAACGAGTTGTCTGAAGCGGGACAAGAGAGACGGTGCACTGTCACTCGCGGGCTCGGGCGGACGTCTACGGGGACGCCGCGTGGTAGATTTTCAGTATAAGAGTTACTCCCATGTCGAGACACTAGCCGCGCGTCACTGCAAGCGCAAATCCGATGTTCACTGATCACTGACAAGTTTCTCCTCGCTTCTTTCGGACACCCTTCTTGAACAAGTTTCGGGCACCCGGTTCGACCGTCCGACGGGTGTTCGCGACCCGGAGTCGACGGGAGACAGTTCCAAGGTGTGTCGCACGCCGGTCGAGACGCACGCACGCACGCGACGTCGGGCCTATCTCGTCTCTCGCGAACGGCGAGGATCGGTCGAGGTCGAAGAGCCGGACGAAAGGTGTTACTTGGGTGGCGCCGCGATGGTCACTGAGCAGCGCTAGGATTGACACCTACTCCGGGGGCTCACCCCCACACCTCCCGCAGAGGTGTTGGTGTGCTAAAGTCCCCGTCCGGATTCAGGGCGGTGGTGTACGCGGCGCGGCGCGGCCGCGCGTGTATACGGGTGGTCCGTGTGCGTGCGTTACGCGCGTGTATTACGGACCCGCGTTGTGCCTGCGCCGCGGAACGGACGCGGGAGGCGTGAATGCTGGAGGGCAGCGACGCGAAGACTGAGATCGTGCGGGGGCTCCTCCTCCCTTCCCCTACGACTGTCTCCGGCCCGGGAGTGGGGGAGCCGGCTTTTTCCCCGACTGTCGGCTGCGGCTGCGGCGGCGGCGACGGCGACGGCGGCGATGCTCGGCCGTCGCGAGAGCCACAGATGCGGACGGGCAAGCGCGAGCCGAGCGTGGAGAGGGAACCGCGCGCGCGGAACCTTCTCCCTACCTCCCGGTCGGGTGATAATGAGCGCTCGTAGTCCGGATTGGCGTTCCGGCGCCAATCCGAGCGGCGTTGGACCCGACGCCTTTCTCGACGCTACTCGAGCCAGGACCGGGTCGTCTCGCTCGCGCCTTCGCGCCTGGGTGCTTGTGCGCTCCTGTCTCCTCTCGGTTGGACTTATCCCCTCCGTTTCGCGCCGCGCACACACGCTCGCGCGGCTCTCCGAACCGAGCTCCCACCGCGCTCCCACCACGATGGTTCTAAGGGTGTTAACCGCGAGTACGCCCATTAACACCACCCCGCGTCGCTGCCTTCCAACGAGGGCGGGGGCATGGGGTATGGCGGGAGGGGGTGCGCGCGATCGACGTCGCGAGGTGTCGTTAGTGGGGCTCCCTCGGATCTTTGCCGGCTGAACGTTAACGCTCTCGCGTTTGACGCGAGACAATTTTCGTGTCCGACTTGCCACGTCGGTCGACACCTTCGTTCCGCGAACTAGACAAAAATCTTAACTCTCCTCGCTACCATCCTCTTGTATCTCGATTCATTGCAGGGATCGATAAGATATATTTACGTATAGTCAGTTATCAAATTTATCTTTTTCAACGACGATAATCAATGACGAGATAATTCAAGAGATGTAGAGAATAAAAAAATTCTTTATCACTTCCAACAAAGATAATTTTGTGTACAAAAGTATACAAATATGTGTTTAATTATATATTAATGTAGATGATTTATTTGGAATAATTATTTGCCGTTGAGAAATATTATATATAAGTTAAAACAAGGTCAGAAAGATTCTCAAAGGATCATAACGAGATTTGGATACGAGGAACTCTGAAATTTTGACGTGAATGGAAGAAAGAAGCATTTAACAACAAATTGTACAAAAGATACGAAGAATAAAAAAAGAATGAATCAAATGTCAAGAGAAAAGGGAGAGAGCATTTGTTGGATAAAGAAAATTTTAAGGTTAAGAAAAGAGAAAACCAAAGAGATTATCAAATCTAGAAATAATTGAAAGTAATTAGGCTAAGAAACATTGTATAAGTTTAACATATTTTTATGTAAAATATTATTATAAAGCAATAAACGTTTTACGCCGAAACCCTTTCAAGCCGAAAAAGGTAAGAAATAAAAATAAATTTATCTATCTATATAATAAGTTCTCACCTACTAAATATATCGTGTAATTTTATGTATACTCAATTTTTATTATTAAATAAAGTTCTCTGTACCAATTTCAATAATAAAATATACATCTTCAACGATTCACGTAAATATATTTTAATCAGTAACATTACCTCCTCTTACTTTCATTCTATTTATCGTATTTTCGAATTCTGAAGTCAGAAAGCTGCGAAAATTTGTGTCCGAACGAATCAGGATGTGCAAAGTCACACAACTCATTTTTACGAATCCGAGAGTCCGGGCGGAAGATTTACGCCCGAAAATACATATCTCCTTCCTCTTTTTTTCTCGCAACGAGTGTACTTTATCATCACTGTAATGCAACGCAATTGGCTACATCGAGAATTCAGCGAGTTTTCCGCGAAATGCCGCGAGAGTGAGAAGTTTTCGAGAGCCGTGCCAAAATTCGCACGGCACAGCGTCACGAATCTCACTCCCCGTCTCTCTCGCGTTCCATCCTTGTCGCTCGCGCTCACGTGCTGCAGTCTCGTGTCGAACACGACAGCGGCAACAGACGGAGGGGAAAGGCGATAGCCACACCCTCCCAGTGTCCCTACCGTTGCCGCGATCGCCACCGCGATGATCACGTGATCCAGTCGATTCCCCTCTCTTGCCGTCGTCCACGTAGCTGCGCTCCCTCTCATCTCGTCTCATCTCTCGCTGGTGCCGCCCTTCACCCTTTCCTCCCAGGCGAAATTTCTCTCCTGCTTTTTCTCCGCCGTGAAACGCTCGCGACGCTCGTCCTTCGCGCCGTGGAGTGTTGCTGAGACGCCCAGAGCATCACAGTGTTGCCAAATCCGCGGGAGAGCTTTTCTACCAGACCGGAATTATATACCCAGAATCACATTATTCGGGAGCGTCGTAAAGAGCGAGCGTCACGCTGAAATCGTCGATCGGTCTTGTTCTTTTGTTGGCCGGGAGCGAAATAGGCTCTCTCTCTCTCTCTCTCTCTCTCTCTCTCTCTCTCTCTATTTCTCAGCCGGGCTATGATCCGGTTTAATCGTAATTATATGGAAAGAGGAACGAGAGGATTAAACGTCTGGAATAAAGGGGCGGGACATGTTGCTTCATTATTTATTGCTTCTGCGGTGAATTATTGGCAATGTGCACCTTGTGCCGCTGTACTTTTTGTAAACTCAATTTCTCTGATTTACGTCACAAGAGGAAAGTAACGGCGCTTGAAAATTTTCTTCGATTATTATTTCGATCTTGTTTCAAACTTTAAATCATCATGATATCGAATTATGAATTAAAAAAAAAGAAACATATATATATATATATAATTTCCTGATAGTTTAGAGAGATAGAGAAAGAATGCAATACAAGTGAATTTTTCTCCTTAATGTATAATTGATTTAAACACGTTATGTATATAAAGAACTCTCCAATTAATTTTTAACTTTATAATACACATATATAATAGATTTCTCATTTAATTTATTTAAAAGTTTGAGATTTCAATATTACATTCATCTTATCTTCTAAAGTAGAAAATTAGACTTTAGTGATCGAGTTGATCATGCAATAATAATCGACACACAGTACATCTAATAAGCTATTTCTCATGCCCTCACCTTATCGCAGCTTCCATTTGTTTCCATTTCGCTAAATTGTCGGATACTCGCCGTAGATAACCCATCCTACTCTTTTTCTCTTTCTCTCTCCCTCTCTCGTTTCTTGACCATCCTGAGAAAAACGTATCGGCGGCGATCGATGCCACTATACGTTAGCTATCCGATAGAGGCAGTCGAATGTAAAGGAAACGAAATAAAGCAAGAGATATAAAGCAGAAGGTGAGAGAAGGAGAATCCGAAAATCCCACGGGGATACGCGTATACCGCGAGAAACCCATAGCGAAAAAGAGAACGAGCTTGGTCGCCTCTTGGCGTGTCCGAGACGACGTCGTAGCGAGCGGCTGAGGCAAGAGCAAAGTTTGTCCTCGTCGGCAGGGAGAAGATAGCGGTGCGAGACGGAAAAAGAGACAGAGAGAAGGAAAAAATCCACAGCCACCGAGCGGAAAACGCCGGGGTACGCGGCGCAGAGGATGGCGGGAGAAAAGGGGTTGGAAGGTGGGGATGGGGTGGGGGAGGGGGAATAATCGCAAGATAGATAGAAAGCGACGACGCGGGCGAGAGAAAGAGAGAGGTGGTCATAATCGCGCAGACCGCGTCATAATCCGCGACGAAAAACATTTGACGAGCGCACCGGGCTGGTAAAGGGGCAACTCGTTTGGGCGTAGCTCGACCTGACACCGCCTACGTATCCGAGCTCACCCCTCCGCCGACGCAGCTGCACGAGGGTGGTGGAACAATCCTCAACGTGAAATGCGCGGAATCGTGCCGTACAGCGTGGGGAACAGACGAGAAGAGGGGGTCCGCGAGACGAGGACGGAGACTCGGGTGGCATTCATCCCGCGACCACGATCAGAGCAAGACGAAAGACAGAACGCATACAAGGAGATGAGCATTGCGTGCGTGCGTGCGCGCACGTTGGCACTGATCCAGTTGCGCACATACGATACGGAGTTTTTTTTCGGCGCGTACGCGATAGGTATCGGTTGACGATCGCGATGTGGAGATCGGGGATCACGACTTTTACGCGAAATTCTGCGCATATCGTTGCTCCCTTATGCCGCGGCTACTCCTCATTTCCGGGAGCGCAGCCGGTGTGGATATCCCGCATGTGGACCACGGATTCTGGTCGAGTCTCAGCAACGCGATATAGATCCCGCAAAATGATCACGTTGATATCACGAAATGGCTAATCGTACCATATAGAGGTTTCCTTAAACGAAAAGAGAGAGAGAGAGAAATTAATACCAACACACAGTTGATTTTCTGAAGAATAATGTGCATCAGTTCGACAAGAGTGAAGCATGAAATCTTATATGTTTACAAAACGCATCTGATTAAATTTGATTAAAAATTTTATTCTTTAGTCTTGATTTTATATGATTAAATCGCTTCTAGTGTTGGAAATTTTTAAAACTTATTATATTGTTTCGATCGTTGCTAAAATAACAATCGAGAAACAAATCGAAACGCATAGAAAGAAAAAAAAATAAATCATTGTCTGCATTAAATAAATATCCTATACATGCATGCATGTTTCATTGTGAAATTTTTATATGTCGAAGGAATATAAAATATAAAAGTACAATATATGCAGTTTCATGGAATTGTTCTGCAATATAATAAAACACAGACTTTTTGTTTAGAGTTGCATAAATGCGAGATAGTTAATAGATATTTTTCTACTTAAAATAATTCTTGATAGTAAAATATAATTCAGATAAATATATATTTGTAGAATTTATATAATAATTATCTATATATAAAGACAAAATGTATATTCAGAAATATTAAAAGAGACGTGTATATATGATAAAATTAACGATAAAAACTATCGCACCTAAAAATTAACGCGTTTTAATAAAAATAAAAATATATACGCAACGAGTTCTGGAGGGCCACCATAAATGTGTCCATCGCACATATTATTATTTCCGTAAACACATTTCATTAAAAACGAAATAAACTCTTCGTTCTGAGTGATAATGTTACTATCAAATTATGTCTTCGATCACGTTCTATTCCGCCCACAGGAAGTGGACAGTGCGCGTATGTAG